GGTGGGGGAAGGGGCAAGGGTGTAATGGTGATTGGCGGTGGAGTGAAATGGTGTACTTTGATATCAAATCGATTTCGACCTGGTACTGTCACGGATCATGTATGATGATGTAACACGACCGCTTGGATCCTTGGTTTTCGGTTTGTTCACAACCACCAGTGAGGACTGTTCCGTTTTCTAGCTCGTATAGGAATAAACCTACCACGGAAGCCGCTTCATGAGAGCCGCGTATGCTTGATCTAAAGAACTAATTCTCGACCAGCCAACAAACTGCTCACGAACGACCCTGCCCCCGAGTGCCCTGCACGCAGCAGTTTAGACTTCCGTTTCCTCGAACTTCCCACTTTCACGATTTGAATGCTCGCTTGAAATACCAGTGAAGTATCTTGTTGATCTCTCTTTGATTTACTACGCTTGGCTGGGACATCTCTTGGTGAACATATAATGCCTGGGCAGTTTCTGCTTGTTTCGCCTCGAAACGCGCTGTGCTGCTTCCCCTTTCAATACATATTTTATGCTATGATAATCTGGATCACGCTCTCCTCTAATACCTCTATCACATTATTACAATTCTTCAATAGGAGCTTATCGCTTTGACGCAACCCCTGGCTTTTGGTGAATCAATGTCAAGCTCGGCCATTCCGATCTATAACTTCCCCTTAACGATTTGAATTTGCTAACTCGCTCGCTGTGTTTCAGGCCTTCCTAGTGCAATATCCGGCCATGTTGCTGCGTGAGTGAGTATTTCTATTCAATTCTTGAAGTAGTCATCTCATGCAAGTACATACACGTTTTTCTAACCTAAGCAGCCCTGCTCACCTGCAATATCCGCTCAGAAGACATTGATTCGGAGTGTTCATCATTCGAACCAATAGCCGAATTTTCCGACAGATAAAGCCTTATCAGTGCGTCTCCTGATGCCGCTCCTTATCATCTCGCCTATATTCGCCCTCGAGTCTTGGTCTGGATGGGTTTCTACCCTCTCAAATTTACGAAACCGGTGGACGAACCCCAGTGAGCAGGTTATTGTTGTCATGTCAAGGACTGGCGACCCGCCTCGACAAAATGGCAACGTCAGGGAGTATACTAGCTATCTCGCTAGTAGCGCCGACTCTATCAAGTAAGTTAGCTCTTATTGCCTCCATGAATGGTCAAAAATTAACTCTTTGTGTTTTACAGGAATTTTATGCCGTCCTGGTTTGCAGTAAACATGGGTATGATAAAGCATCCAATCCAACCCGATAACTGTTTAATAATACGTCACAGGCACCGGGTCGGTTTCGAGTCTACTTTACAGCTTTCCTTATGGACCACAGCGTATACTACGCGCACTCGGGACAGCCTTCCTTATCTTGAACGTGTTGCTTTTCGTGGCATTCTGCGTCTTATCAGTGGTTCGATACGTCCGATACCCTGAGGTGAGTGTCAAATAGCGTTTACGAAGCACACTTAGCTAACCATGCGCCACCCACAGGCAATACACCTCACGTACAAGCACCCAGTACAGAGTTTATACCTAGGTTAGTCGGGCTTCATTTCTCTACCGTTCAGCCTGCCGATTATATTATAGGATGCATCCCTATGGGATTCGCGACAATTATCAACGGGGCACTGAACGTCAACCAAGGTTATGGATTGGGCGGAAATACATTTTTGTATGCCCTGTGGGGACTCTGGTGGCTTGACTCAGTCATGGCTCTCGCGGTATACTTCTCAATGCTCTACACCATGTAAGCAATCGTTTGCGCTACGATTCTTACAGACACCTCACATTTCCGCAGGATTACACGCCAAAACCACAGCATCAAAGCTCTTACTGCCGTCTGGCTCTTGCCAACTGTGACTCCTATAGTACCATCAACAACTGGTGCTCTACTCGCCCGTGCTATTATACCCCACTCCACCAGCCATGCTATGATCACTCTTTTCATGTCGACAATACTCTTATTTCTCGGTCTATCTCTTACGTTCATGATCTTGCCGCTCTACATGCTACGTCTCATCACCGAAGGGTTACCAGAAAAGACTCTTATTACGTCCAAATATTTACCGGTTGGCCCATGTGGACAGGTTTGTCTAGCCCCTTGACAAATGCTTATTTTCTGGTCTGATGTCCCGAGTCTCATTTCAGGGAGGCGCCGCGTTTATTATTATTGGAGAAGTATTCGCGGATATGGCCAAGCGGCATGTGAGCGACAACGTGTTGCTGAACGAGTCCCAGCCTTGGGCGTCTCTTGGTGTCTATTGTGGATTTTTCCTCTGGGTGTTTGGTATCTGGTGGATTCTCTTGTCAACTTTGGGCATGTACGAAACTTTTCGATGGAACCCCCCGGATTTCGCAGTTGGATTTTGGGGCATGGTTTTCCCACTAGTGAGCTACTTGGCCTCTCTGTTTTGGGTTGCATTTTCTCATTGATGCATTTAGGGTGTCTACGCCTTCCTAACTCTTCAACTTTCTTATGCTCTGGGCTCGGCGTTCTTTAGGGGGCTTGCTGCTACCCTGAGCGTCGCCGTCTGTCTTCTTTGGTTAACACTTTCCATCACAACGATCTACCACATCTGCCGGAGCGGAAAACGACTTTTTGATTCCTCATGTGACCCGGAGACCATCCGGAATAGGTCGCCCGACGGTTCAAGGCAACCGTGGATACGAGGAAGGACAGGTGGCACCAACGAGGCATAACCAGGTACGTTGAACATACCGTAGCACGCACGTTCAGTCTCTCACTTCAATTCATCGATCCAGGGTAAAACATGTCGAATCATGTTCGACGAACAAGTCATCAGGCTGATCATGTGCCAATTGTATTCAAAAATGACGCCATCATTTTCCTCTGACCCACATTTCACCACCAATCTCCCCCCGAATCACGCTCCGAATGGTTTTCCGAATTCATTGCCGATGCAGGTTATATAAAGCTCACCCCACCCAAAATTCAACTTCTTCGAACCTATACCCGCCACTCTCTAACAGTGCCACCAGCAGCGGATATCTTCCTCCCGCTTGTAATGCGAAACGTCAACGTGACGCCCGGTGAACTAGAGGACCACGCAGAACATGCCGTAACCAATTGTATCAAGTGAGTCGACTAGCCTTTGTTCGGCCTGCGTGAGAGATGTGTGTACTGACGACGTGCAAAGGAATTTTACGCCCTCCTGGTTTGCCATTAACATGGGTAAGTATCTGCCATTATAATTTTAGTGGTGATATTTATGGATTTCAATTTAGGAACCGGGGCCGTGTCCTCCTTGTTATACAGTTTCCCATATGGCTCGCAACCAGTTTTACATGCGTTTGGGACGGCATTTCTCATATTGAACATAATTCTTTTCGGCCTGTTTTGCGTATTATCGACCATTCGATACGTGAGGTATCCAGATGTAAGTCCAGCCGATTCCTGATACCGAATAGATCGGTTGACGAGCATCCCTCACTCCAGATTATCCCACTAATGTTCAAACACCCCATCCAAAGTCTATACTTAGGTATGTTCTCTATATCCTACCGGCTGCTGAGACTCATTCGAGAGACGCAGGCTGTTTTTCGATGGGATTCTCCACAATCATCAACGGGTCTCTCAACGCTTACTATGGTTACGGCCTCGGTGGTCGATCATTCTTGTATTTTCTCTGGGGTCTATGGTGGTTCGATTTTGTTTTGTCTCTTTTGATTTATTTCACGATGCTCTACACAATGTGAGACGAACTTCCGCCCACTATTTCGCTTCTGACATTGGCTAATCAGCTTTGATAAATAGGATAACACGCCAAAACCACAACATTAAAGCACTCACCGCGGTTTGGTTACTCCCTACGGTCACTCCCATCGTTCCGTCTACCACTGGCGCCCTACTCGCTCGCGCACTCCTCCCCCATTCAATCCATCACACTATGATCACACTCTTCGCGTCTGGGGTGCTGCTCTTTCTGGGGTTGGGACTGACCTTCATGATACTACCCCTATACATGCTACGCTTGATTACGGAAGGACTTCCACCAAACACACTTATCACATCAAAATTTCTACCTGTTGGGCCTTGCGGACAGGTTAGCCTCATCTCCTAACCCAGCTTCTCATTTTACTTACCTTCACTTTAGGGTGGCGCAGCGTTTGTCATTATGGGGCAAGTTTTTGCCGAAATAGCACAGCGTGGGGCTAGCAACAATTCGTTACTGAGCGAGTCACAACCTTGGGCTCTTTTGGGTGTGTTCTGCGGATTCTTCCTGTGGACCTTCGGGATTTGGTGGATGTTGCTTTCGGCCGTAGCGATTGTCGAAACTTTCAGATCTAATCGACCCAAGTTTGCAATTGGCTTTTGGGGCATGGTGTTCCCGCTGGTAAGTGTTGTACAGCGATCTCAATTGATTTTCGTCTAACCAATTCACCTAGGGCGTTTATGCGTTTCTAACGCTTCAACTTGCCCAAGTTTTCGATTCCTCGTTTTTCCGCGTGGTTGCTGCGATCCTCAGTGTGGTAGTTTTTGCACTATGGACGACACTTACTGTAACCACGCTCTCTGAGATCTACCGACATGGGGAGCGACTATTCAACGCACCGTGCTTAGACCAGTCGTCTACCTGTTCAAGCCAGTGTTCCAAGGCGATGGAGAAACCAGCAGTAGCTTGATGGTGCTGATCCTGCAGGTTGTGCTATTGTTGTAAATTATTCTCACTGTATTTGTTTCTTACTCTACTCAAAAATTCCTAATATATTTTACAATCACTGAACGGCAAGAGGTGGAAATTCACGAGTTAAATCTGAAGGTCAGACTAGCAAGTTTGTAGCGCATCTAGCGACTTGGTACAAAAATGCTACAATAGTGCAGAAACGAGAAGGATTTGTGGTACGGTGATTTAACCAAGCGGTTCAAGGCGCTGATTTCGGGCTAGCTTGAGGTTCCCTTTTGGTTCTGAGGTTTAAGATAACAGGTGGGTCGCGCATGTAGTAACTTTGTATAAAGCGTAAGCGTGATGGTCAAGGGGGGGCCTCCCTATGGTACGGCGATCTAGCCAAGTGGTCTAAGGCGCTAGGTTCAGGCTATTTTAAGCTTCCTAGTCTCGAATTTCGGGGCGAGGGTTCGAATCCCTCGGTCGTCATCCTTTTGACGTTGTTCTCTTGATATCTCAACCCCATCTCACAAAAATTGCATAACAGAAGGAAATTCCCAGCGTGGGCGCATTATTTTTACAAAAGCACCGCAAGTCAGAACTGAAATGTCAAAGGTCGCTTGGTACGCAACGGCTACGCTTTCCCCACTACTGAAGCTTCACAAACAAACCTATAGTATGTGTCGTTCGAGGTAAAAAAGCATAAAGCGGATGGATGGCAAAAGTCATTTCCAGCCTGGCACGTCTCGTATACATTGGTAACCCACAATACCCCCCCCCCCTTAGTCTCTTTATCTATTTACGCATGATACATTCCGATCTCCCACGCCTCCTATTGGTTTTATGGCGCATATAACCGCCCTCCTAGCAGCGCCATCTGGTTATATGCACTTGCTTTAAATCCGATGCCCAACTGGACGAATCTGATAAACTAGCTAGGCTCCCAAGGCAGCAGTACTACAGCGCTTTTCAAATAGGCATGCACTCAGCGCCTCAGAATTAATTAATTCCCCCCTACTGCAGGACTCACCACCACCTCAAATCTTCCTCAATCAAGACAAGATATATATATTTTGGATCGCGCTTTCAAAGCGCAGGGCACTGTGTAGGAATGAGCGCATAATTCAAGAAATCGATTTTCCGCATTTCAGATTCTAGTGTCAAATCTAGTACCACGCCCTGCGCATTGGCAGCGCGATTCCAAATATATATAGATTTTGTCCCAATATGTTGAGATTTGGACCGGTGGTGAGTCCCACGGTAGGGGGGGATTAATTAATTTTCCAGGCGCCGAGTGCATGCCTATTTGAAAAGCGCTATAATGGTGGCTAGGGTATTCTTGAGGTGATGTTGAAAAGACTTGTTTGTCCTCACACCGGCTTTGGTCGTATTTTGTGCCTAGAGTCCACTCAAACTCGCCGGCCAGTGTCGCCCAGTAGTCTATGTTTGTTTATGGAATTTAATCTACTTGACTCGACTCCACCACCGACCCAAGCCCTTTGCCCACCATCATATTGATGCTGTGTGCTTTGAAACCAGCATATGGCGCCCAGTTGCGCCTATCTCTCCCGGTGACGCCGGGGTCCGAGGCGAAGCGTCTTCTGTTGGAACATCAGAGCTCTCTCAACATGTAAAGTTCTGGCCGTCGGGAATACTCGTCTAAAAAAGGTTAGCTGCCGCTTTCACGGCGGTTTTGAGTTGGACACAACGTATGCTGTATGCCCACCGCCCTTGTCCTTCTGCCCTTTGCCCGGCACCGCTCACATTGCCCTTTGCCCACCATAGCTGCCCTCTGCCCTACTATTATGACAGAATTCCTATAAAATGACCACGCAATTATGTCCTTAAAAACATTCTCTCGTCCAATAACCCTTCTCTAGCTTCACTATGTCTGCACCATTCACCGTTACCACCGCTCCCGACGGACGCTTATTGACTAACCTCGGTAGCGAAGGCTGGGGTCCTTGGCCATTTAGTTTACTTTCTGAGCCCGAGTTGTCGAGCGAGCTTTCTCGGTTCGCCAATGCGAAAACGTCTAACGCCTCTGGTGTACGTGTCGACAGCATCACTTTTCAGCCAGCGCAAGGCGAGAAGAATTGCTCCCAGGACCGCATATACGATGGTCCATTTAATGGGCTGAAATGGCACGGTTCCATGATCGGTGTTTTCGACGGTATGAACTTCACAGCTGGTCTTAGGCCGCTATTGATTGATGTGTTGCTTTTTCTAGGTCACGCTGGCGAAGAGTGTGCAGACCACACCCTTGCTCACTTCCCGAGCCACCTAGAGCAGGCTCTTGCTTCTGATCCCAACGAACTATCAGCCGCAATCTCCAACGCCTTTGTTACATTTGACGATGCTATCACAAGCCAAGTTCTTGCTATTTTCCCAGATCCCGAGGCCCTTTCGTCGAAATCACCAGAAGAGTTAAGCACTATCGTCAACGACCAAGCTTCCGGAGGAGCCAACTACGAAAAGATCATTCTCTCTATGCGGGGTACGACAGCCTTGGTCGCTCTCGTTCATGAGGAGCGAAACGACCTCTGGGTTGCAGGTGTGGGTGATTGTCGAGCAGGTGAGTATATGCGCACTAATACTTAGCGCTCACATATCTAACTTGTCAAAAGTTCTGGGCATACAAAAGCCTAATGGCTCTTGGGAAGCGCGCGACCTTATCGCCCCACAGAACGGGGGTAATCCAGTAGAGATGCAGAAGATTCGCGACGCTCACCCGGGCGAACCAGACGTAACGCTTAAGAACCGTGTTTTGGGTGCCATTGCCATTACTCGAGGTACGAACGTCAGTTTATGGTGTCCACAGTCGTTGTTTTACTCACTGTGCTTGCTAGCTTTTGGAGATACGGAATTTAAACTCCCAGCAGCGTACACAAACCAAGTTTTCCTTCGCGCCACTCCTGGCTTCCGTGTCCACTCTGCAGTGGAAGACTTCACGAAGCGTAATCTCACCCCACCGTACCTCAGCGCAGTCCCGGATGTCGTTCACGTTGGTCTGGGAGCAAGTACTGATTCCGATGGGATACCTCGGTTTGTAATTCTTATGTCTGACGGAGCTGTTGATGAATCATTGGTCAACATTCGCGGTGAAACCGAGGCTCAGTCGTTTCAAAAGTGGGTAGAACTGGTCGGGTCGCGTCTCGACGCAGAAAGTGCTAAGCAAGGTGGCTCGAAGGAGACATCAGAGGACAACTTAGCAATGGCGGTGTTGAGGGAAGTATATGGAGGAGCAAATCAAGAGCATTTGTCAGCTTTCCTCACTGTTGAAATGGAGGAAAAGTGGGTTGATGATACTAGCATCCAGGTTGTGGTGTTCTAAATTGGTTCGATCTTTGCTTTTGGTACTTCTCAATCTTTTGAATCGCTATCCCTTTCATTTTTTTTGATACGCAATAAAACCTTCGTTCTCCTCTATATGTCTGGGCAGAAAACGCCGCGGGTAAATTATAGGCGGGTGCAAACTGACCCTCATTGGCCTTCGTTTGCAATCTAGTCATTATTTTAGTATTTGGGCAGCCGTGTGCGATTCTGGTGTGGAGAATTTCCACCACGTCGAGTGATGAAAATCCAGTCCGTCATGTATGGGTTGAAGTCTCGCTACTATATCGTTACAGGAACGATCAAAAAGGCTCCAACCAGGGATTGAACCTGGGGCCTCGCCCAAGATAGTGCACATACCCTAAGGGCGAATCATACCACTAGACCATTGAAGCGATGGCGAAACAAAGCCACGTATTGATCAGAATTCTTTTCCATACGATCAAATGTTCTGGGTGTTTATGACAATCAAATTTTCTATATGCAAAGATCTACCCGAGTGATTTGGGATTACGTGCCTATGAGGGGCCACAGACATCAAATTTGTCCATATAGACCGCATGTACCGGCTACACAACTTAAAGCGTCCATTAACTTGACCTGTCGGATACATGATTGGAGAAACAAATACTGTACCTCCAGTACTAGGGGATACAGCTTGTGAAGGCCATATTTTAGTATTGCGGAATCTAAACTTTTAAAGCTTTGCCTGTAATTTGATCTTCAAGTACGATCAATCAAAAAAGATTGCATCGAAAAATTTCAAACAAATTATTCCGAAGCTTAATGATATTACGCGCGAGCTGGGAATACATCACATTACTCTGCAAAAGGCTCCAACCAGGGATTGAACCTGGGACCTCGCCCAAGACAGTGCACATACCCTAAGGGCGAATCATACCACTAGACCATTGAAGCGATGGGATAGTCAACATTTCGATGCACAAAGCTAGCTGGTTTTATAGATACCGCGCCTTTTAGTGTACCCCTCCTAAAAGTCTCTTAAACGAAAACGCATACCCATCTAGATTTGGTACTAGTAACCATATCTATATAAGAGGCCCGAAAAACAATCAAGCATCTCAGCAAAATTCTCCTTAAATCAAGGAGCACTCCAGAGCGATGGTATGCTACGGATTACTTGAGAGCTGAAGGTATTGTGCTCCGTAGTGCTCTTTATTTTCAATCGGTGGTGTATGAGTGCTCCGGAATGCTCCAGATTTGCTGGAGCAGCTGGAGCCATTCCCCAGATCTGGAGCACTCCAGAACTAAGGAAAATTTGTTCCGATGATGAGCAGGCTAGAACGGCTTCAATAGGTCAAGTATTGGCTTAATTCAAGAGAGGTTTATATTAGGAATATTGAATGTGACATGTTTCCGCCTGGCTACCGCCACCTGCCTGGCTGGCTGGGGTCTATACTGACAGTGGTCGTTCTGCGAGTCTTAGACTATCTCTGTTTACTTGGTATTTCTCCGTTTGATTTCACGGTGCAGTCCGTCAGATAAGACTGAACAAGTATCAATCGTTGTTGGGCCGCGGTCTGCTGGTTGTGAACGCTTACATGACATATGTTGCCCTCAAACCTTAAAGTATGTCAACAAGCTAGGTTCTATAATCTATATTCGGGGAGCTTGTGGACACTCATGGAAATATTACTAATAATACGGGAGTAGGCCAAGTCCGACGAGATTCCTCAATCTCGTAAGCAACGCCAATTTTGCCCGCGCGTCTTGCGCCACATCAGGAAGCCCCACCAGTCGCTTGGGCTTCTGAAGCGCTCTGTAAGTCGGGGCTAACTGTCACCGCTTAGGAGTACCGGGAATTCAGAGTTCTCGGGGTGACAAGGATCACCGAGGGCACCCGGATGCCACGCATGGACGTCGGTCTACTCTACGAAGCGCTCAGGCGACCATTCCATTCTAGGCAAGATAACCGCTCATTCCGTGGCCGAAATGATCCTAGAGTGGATAAAAACAACATAGCAATGCATAGGTTTCGAGGGGATACAGATGATCCACTGGTGGCTATAATGACTCAAGTGCACTTCCTCTGTCGACTATTGATGCAGCCAATCTTACACGCGGAGAAAGGGTGGAAAAACTGGTCCGTACTTATCGAGGCTAGCGGAATATATATCTGACTGACGGTTCAGGCATATATTTATTTATACAAGTTGACCATACTCTCAGCATCTCAACGCACCCGCCCTCGCCCCGTCTGAGCAAAACCATAACCATCACACATTACCATGCCTTTCATCAGCTCTCCCGCCAAAATCCTTCTCACAGGTGTGTTTGTCCCTCCTCTGATCTTATGATATAAGACTAACCACTTTCTGGCAATGCAAAGGTGCTAATGGATATTTCGCCACCTTCGCCATCAAAGATCTTCTTGACCGCGGCCACACAGGTGAGCTCACGTAGTGCTTTATTTACCTTATATAGCTTGATTGCCTGACCCTTCTTCCTGTTTAGTGGTTGGTACCATTCGCTCTGAGAAAAAGGGCAAAGAGGTCGCCAAGCTCTACACCCAATATGCTGAGCGGTTCAGCTATGTAGTAGTCCCCGATATTGCAAAGGCAAGCATCTATTCCCTTTCTGATGTTCTATTGCTAACATCATACGCAGCCTGGAGCATTTGACCAAGTAATCAAAGACGGGAACTTCGATGGCGTCGCTCATATTGCATCCCCTGTGGTTGTTCCTAATGCGACTCCTGACGGTACGCGTGTTATTGAACACTAGCGCTGCTCGACTAACGAGATTCTTATAGATTACTTCTGTCCTGCTATCAAGGGAACGACAGGGATTCTTGAGAGCATCAAGTCGCATGGGTAAGTATAATCCATTAGCATTCATGCTAAACACATTGGCTAACGTGGCTGCTTTAGCGCTACTGTCAAACGTGTTGTGCTGACATCTTCAGGAGTGACCTTGTTTCAATATCAAAAAGGTCTGCAACACACTGAGGTAAGTTGAACTCTAGGTTGGCTTGGCACATTAAAGCCACATATATTGACCAATTAATTCGCAGGCTCACTGGAATGAAACGATCCTCAATGTCGTCAAGGAAAAGGGCGACAAAGCCACGCCAACAGAACTATATACGGCAAGCAAGACTTTAGCTGAGAAAGCTGCGTGGAAGTTTGTCGATGACAACAGGGACGAAATCAATTTTGACCTAGTCGCAATGCTTCCATCATATGTAAGCTGTCGCACCGCATACTGTCATATTCTAGTCTAATGTACCTGGATCAATAGATATTAGGCGTAAGGAATAGCGTTCTTGTAGACGCTCCGTCATCTAATTTAAATTCGTTACAGGCGCCGATCAAGGTGGTGGACTCTCGAGATGAGCTCACGTCGACGAACATAGTTCTTAGCACGATTCGCACACCTCGTCCAAACTCGGACCTTACGAACAAAGCCTATACTGTCATTCACGTCAAAGACATGGCGACACTTCACTCTAACTCGTTTAGTCGTGCAGACGCTGCAGGACATCGGTTATTAGGCATGGGAGCCGATGCAAGTTGGCAAGACCTCTGTAAATCATAAGTGACTCTATGTGCGGTATATCTCACTAACCATTGGATTATTCATATAGATGATGCGCTCAACGAGGAGCCCGCGTTTCCGAGTGTACCAAAGGGTAATCCTGGCACCAGTGGTCGACCGGACACCGGCTCCACCGAGTATGATACGTCATACTCGAGAGAGCTACTTGGAAAAGAGTTCATTGGCATTAAAGAGATGTTCCGTGAGACGGAAGCGTACTATCAAGAGAAAGGGTGGCCATTCATATAATCATAGTCCGATATAACACACATAATTGTGTTCAGAGGTTCATTTCAGGATTGTATCTGTAATCATTATATGCGCACACTACCTCAGCGACGATGCATATACCGGTTGGACGGTATGTTCACACACATGTAAAACTGTGCTACACATTCAATCAGCCTGGCCACAACTCAACGTGTTTGGTGTCTCGTATGATTACTCCCTTAAATGATACAACACAAAATGCCCGAAGCATCCGCACGCGAGTACCGAGTCAACGACGCCCTTAGCGAGAGTCACATTGCCATCTACCTATCCAATGTTGCTTGTGCACTGTCCCGTATCGCATTACTTAGATCGATATTATGGTACTGTAGTTTTCGCACTGAACCCAAGGATATGGACCGGACAATAGCGGCGGCATTTGAAGCGAAACTTACGGTTAAGATAGGAATCCTGCGGCTTCTTAATTTCCGTCACTAAATCTTTTTTCTACCCACCTGACAGAATGTGGCGAACTCGCGATGCTAGCTGTACGATTATTGTGTTTTGAGCTCGCATTCGTATCTACAAAAGAGATTTCCTCCCTTGCTAAACACGTCGAGACACAGTTGAAAATAGTTGATTAAGGGTTCTCCATAAATACTCCTCTAGGCCGCAAACCTCTTGCCTTTTCCACGGGTCACTCGCGGGAGAGACACAATTCTGTCCGCGACTAAGCCGTAGCAAGAGCAAACACAAGAGCAACTTGCTGAGTCAGGGTTTTTGTATCACGTGCCGGTCTTATTCATCCTCTTCACCAACGAAGAGCCTTCGACGATGGCCTCGACGTACTATGAGTTCTACCGTGGCTCTTCGTGAGTATTCTTGTCGCCATTGTCATTATCACTGGTTTGATGAACTGAACTTGCTTTGTGCGAAGAATCGGGATCGCCCTCACGGACTCGCTCGACGAGCTCATCACGAGTGGGAGTATCACCCCGCAACTGGCGATGAAGGTCTTGGCTCAGGTGCGTTCTATCTCTGTGCGCTCGCCTTACTTTGATATAGCTAAAGCGTTCATTAGTTTGACAAGTCTCTGGCGGACACCTTGATCAAACATGTCAAGGTCAAGACAAATCTCAAGGTATGTTCGTCTATTACGCTGTTGTACGACTATTTCTGATCTTGCTCACACAAATCCATCTTTCAATCAACCTTGCATAATATATATATCTGGCCTACGAATCCCTCTCCTCGACCATCACCGCTTCTCTCCGGTGCCCGTCCCTCCAGGGCCATCTCTCAACCTACCGTTTATGTGACGAGGTCTGGACGTTCATAGTCAAGAACCCTACGTTCAAAATGGAGTCCAACGAAGTCGTCAGCGCGCAGAAGATTAAAATTGTCGCGTGCAAGAACGGTGATGCTCCGGATCCAGGGAAGAAGTAGGGCGCTCTCTTTCTGGATATTAGACGAGGGTTGGGTGGTGATACATGGAGGTCTTGGGTTTGGAGGTTGCAATGACTTGTTGGTGCTGCTGCTGGGCGGACTGATGGTGGGTAAATATCTCGCCACTCGAGGTTGATTGCGGGTCCTCGCGGTGACTCATCGTCCTCCCCCTACTCCTCCA